CGAATCGATGTGGTGACTCGGAACGTGTTCACGCGTTAAAATTCGCGTTGCATTGACCAGTCGTTGCGGCAATGAGGAAAATATGCCCCGCATTTTCTCCAGTCTTGAGTTTCTCAAAATCCGTCAACCAGCAAGTAATAACACACTGATTTGTCAAAAGGTACTCCCTACTGTGGCTAGGACTAAATATTACATTACTGGGACGCAGTCACAACTCATACGTGATGTCATCGTCGATGTAAACTAATAAAGACTCTTGAAATCAGTTGGCATCATTACGGAGTTAAAAGTAATATGAGCATAGTACAATGTTCCCTGTGGGTATGTTGTCTCAAGCGATGCTGGGAGCCTCATCACGTTCGTGTTTCGTTTGTAGATACAAATCCGTCTGTGAGCATACGTGCCGCATCAGTTTGTGCCGCAAAAAAAAGAAAAGAAATATAACTCTGTCTGTTCGTTTTCGTGTCACAAAAAAAGAAGAAGTTTAACCTGCCAATGCCATCAGCAACCAGTTTATTTTATTGTCTTTGTGAAAATGATAACATTGAATTAGTTCAATCAGTTAAATTGCTACAAAAAGATTAAACGTTGGTCAGAACGGGTTTAAATGTTTCATCACAAATTAAATCGACAAAGCTGCTGCAGCGCGTCATACTCAATGGGTCTTCTGCAACGTATACAGCGCGTGCAAAATGAAATTAACATGATGAAATGCATAATGTGTCGCTTTAGCATATTATTATTCACCATAGAGCAATATATAATGATCACGTGGTATGTTAGATATCATATATACAATTTCGATGTGTTCATATTAGTTATATATTTCAGAGGTGTATCATCGCTCTGTCTCTACGATACAATAAATGTTAAAGGACGGAGTAAAAAAACTAATATTGGGGGGCAAAGGGGATAGCTGGTACAGGTTACAGGAAATACAAAATGCATTTTACGTTTTTACAATCTATAAAATAGAAAGTTCCATTTACAGTAAAAAATAAGTTTTTACACTTTACAGATAGTTACATTGTTATATTATACTTGATCATTTGTGTTTAAGAATCAAAATTGGACTTTACGTACAAATTACGACATTTAATGTGGAAAGTACTTTAAAATGTTTGCAAAAAATAAGATCTTTGTACAAATTACGGACGAATAAAATAGCTGATTACATTTTACAACTTTCCCATATAGTCTACGCATTTACGTGTTTTTATTTATTTAAGTAACATTATTACGAAAAAAAAAACATTTGATTACAGCTCACATTTTATATGTTATTAAAATGTCAAATCATATACAAATTAATAATAAGCAACAACGTTGTTGTTATCGTGATGTATATGTCAGCCAGGACATAAAACCTAATGTTTTAAGGGCCGTGCGCAGACCGTCACTGGTTTTTCAAATACAGTTTGCAGCAGCGCCTTAGAATACTCATAATGGTTACTTTCACTGATGCTGGCTGTTCTCAGTCTGTGTCCTAGCAACACAATCTACATCCCTCGAAGTCAGCAGCGTACAAACTGTTGATTGATTTTCGGCTTCGGGTTACAGGAATTATTAAGGAATTTGGGAAAGACAGCCTTTCGTAGCGGTAAACTCTTTGTGGCTATTGTGTCGATAATACTCATCTGAAGAACATTTCGTGAAAATGTCAGGTGACTAAAATGTGCAACTGGACACTGTAACATGTTATACAACTGACATCATTTCGGCTCTTGTCACGATATCGTAATCTACACACCTATTATATTATACGCTCTTTATTAACCTAACTCGTGGTTAAAAGGATCTTCCATAACACAAAGTGTCGGGTTATTTTATGATGATTGCACAGTGTATGACGCATTATTCTTTCATTTGGAAATCGAAAGACATACGGGTCCTTTCACATGAGATGTTTGTTACAGTAATACAACACCTGAATCAGTTATAGTTAGAGAGAACAGCGAATAAATAAGCACGCGCCAATTCGAAAAGAAATTTTTTTTTTCATTGTTGCGATAGTTTACTATTATTATTATTATTATTATTATTATTATTATTATTATTATTATTATTATTATTATTATTATTATTATTATTATTATTATTATTTTCGTTTGTGCAGGCTATAACATGAAAAAGCTCATAAATACTATTATTATAGTATGTAATCGTAATGCCATGCATCCTGTGTTATTAGGAAATGCGAATTTCAAATATGGAACGATAATTACAAGCATAAGCATCCTCTAATAATAAAAACAAACACGGCGGCCCCCAGGGTTTGACCTGGCCCCACACGAAGAAGTCCGCTAAATATGTTCTGAACTTTTTAGATTTCGGCATTCAGATAGTACGCGGTCGCATCGGCGTCCACTGCGCATCTGTCGATATTTCCGCTGTATTGTCTTCGTGCCTACTTTGCGGTATCCTCGTAATAACCTCATATGCATATAGAAACAAACAAACAAACAAACACAAAACACAAATAAATTCAATGTACAAAAAAAAAAGGTATGACCGATCATGGAAGGTACTAACGGATGGACCGATACAAAAGTTTAAGATACAGAGCATGAGACTTGTAACACAAATACGTATAAGAGGATAAAAGCACTACAACGATCATATATTTAGTAGTGCAAAGTAGAACAGAAACGTGTTCCGTCTAACCGCGTCATATGTAGGAATATTACAGGACATATGCATACTATTAGCACTATAGTCCCAGACCGGGGCCTTTAATAAATAAACGCAATAGTATACGCAAAGCGAAAACCATGAACACGTTTGTCAATGTTAGCGCAAAATGTAAACAATGTAATTTTAACATCACTGCTGACAGTATATTTTTTGTCTCAACTCTCGGCATATTGCACATACAAGACAGTAATAGTCGTTGTTTTCATCGTTTTTTTTTCAGCACATGTGTCAAGAGAGTCATCTCCTTTCTGACCTCTTTTCTATAATGCATCAATAAGGCTCAGCACTTAATCTGTTATTTGAAAGGCAAACATGTAACAATCCAAATCTGAACTTCTTTTTCGTGAATTACGAGTAAAAATTCCAATTGGCAAAAGGAATTTGCCATACTGCAATTTATGTTTTCAATACAAAAATAATTTGTTTCAATCGCGTCATTCGATTAAGTCACACAATGCATCTTAAATTGTTTTGAATGTCCTGATTTCATTATTTGGCGAAATCCGAGTACTAGTATGTCTGTCACAGAACATCAAGACACCGTCCCTCGACACCGGTGTTGAGGGACGGTGATCAAGACAACTTGAAAGCGTGTGATGTAACTGCTGCAGTGGTTTTACTTGGTACATAGAGTATTTTTATGAGCTATCGAACGGAGAACTCTGTTGAGGTGAAATAAATAAACCTAAAAGCGCAGTTTATCGATTGTCATGAAAGGAACACGGATTCATAGTAATCGATGTTTGCATCTGTATTCAGCCATAGCTTTACTCCTATAACTTTGAAGCGGGATGGTCGTCACCTGCGCACGCGCGGGAATTGAGTCCCAAGCGACAATAACACCACACGCTAAAACGCAAAGGCTCATGGGTAGATGCTTGTTTGTAAACAATGACACGCTAAGGCCATCTGACGCATGCGCAGGTTACGACTCCCCCGGTTTAATATTCTGCAGTGTATGTAACCCAATCATACGCGTAAGGTGGTTATTCTAGTGATGACTACATCTAAGGGGTTCCCTGTCTTTAACTATATTATAATGTCTGTGTAAAATACAATCAAAATAGCAGTGATGATATTGTCTATTTTAACCCTGTGGCGGCGGCACATGGGGGGGGTCGTCCCCTCGAAAAAAATGTTGGGGGGCGTCGCCCTCCAAAATCAAGCGTTTCAGAGGAGTATAGATTTCAATTTTTTAAGGGGGCATGCCCCGGACCCCCCCCCCCCCTAGTAAGGTCACGCCTTGGGCGCGTGGTTGGAAAACAGATCCCGCCACTGATGCACAATTCCATGTCGCCGCCTCTGTAACCAGTTTATTTATTCCTTGTGCTCGGATGGTCCCGGATAATACGTAACACCCCTTCCAAAATATCATTTTTTTTACTACAAACCGAATTATTAGTTTATAAATACACACCCCTGACATGACATAATCAAAGTTTACACATACAGACTTATAAAAAATCAAAAGTACTTTGTCACCCACCATTATTTGATGACTGATGACCGACAGTTATTTTTGCTGTGTAAATGTGGTTGTAGAGGGTCGTATACATATTCGGTATTGATCCCGAGGTTGATCCATTAGATTAATTATTGTAGGAACACCTTTAAATCAAAGTGTAATTCTGTCCACAATTTAAACGTCATAGTTTTTCCACAAAAATGATACAATACTGTTATGTATTTTTCAATAATTAAATCGGACATTGGTTACGGATCTTAAAGCGCGGCAGTCGTCGCGCTGCGCATGTGCGACATTTGTGTTGATAAACATTGATTTTCAATCCAGTGTGCTCTTCAAATGGAAATCACAAGTATGAGGTTTGACCTGGGCGCGACTTGCACTGAATACCACCGGCGACTTCTTCGATACCGTCCAATCACCTAAAGATGACCTAATTAAAGCTTTGAAACGTCTCAGTTTGTACTCGTTGATCTGCGCAACAGTCAAAATCGCCATCTTTGTTTATATGAGACCCATATATCTCGCCCATGCGTGGCGCGACGACTACCGCCTTTAAAAATTTTCTACCGGTAAACCAAAATTATTTAAACATTATTTCGGTTTGTTTTGGGAAAAATTACCATGGCGCTCAACTAATACACACACGACTGAGTTTGAAGTTGAAAGAAAGCGATATTATGAAAATCAGTATTTCTCGTCTGTAACGCTACTATTAATTCCCGCTATGACTAATTCACGTGGTTGCGTCCTTCTGAATTATATGACCATTAACTACAGAGGGCGCTGCAACATTCTCATGAACACACTTTCATAATCAGCTATCTGTTTCTATTTGCAGGTTGTGGGTACTTTGACACAGTGTGGTCGCTATGTGGACGAACTTATCTCCCTTTACGCGCTGATGAGCACTACCTTGAACGCACTTCTGAATCCCCTTGTCTATTTCGCTCTCAGTCGACAATACCGGAGAGGTTATCTGGCGATCTTTGGTTGGATCCTAGCACTATTTCGGTGCAAAGGTGAAATAGTTTAATACTTGAATTTTGCGTATTTAAAAACAAGTAATCTGCTGTTGTTTTATTATTTTTTATAACATTTAAACCTGAAATTACAAAGTTCCATGATAGTGTGTTATGACCAGCTTCCAATTCCTCAATATTGTTAAACATATTGCCTGTAATAAAAAAAATTCGAATTTCGTCTTCAATCATTTGCATTATTTAATTTATAGGCGCAAGAAACGTGTATGTTGAGCTCAATTGGACATTACAAACTTGGGGGTGCTAAATTTTGAAGAAAAAAAATGCAGTGCACATATACAAATATCAATGAAATTAATTCTACATCAAATTTAATAGCATATATATATATATATATATATATATATATATATATATATATATATATATATATATATATATATATATATATATAGGAAGGTAGTCGATTATTCCAGGTGAGAGTGCTCGATACTAAACGATGAGTTTGTAAAGCAGATTTACAG